AGCCCAAATATTTCCAAGTGGTGTTGGGACCTGAGAATTGACCTAAAGATCAGTCATGGACACCAAGGGCTCCAGGGATGACTGCGCTGGTAGCCTATCACCAGGAAGGGAAGCAGTAAGAGGGAGACAACCTGAGCTGTGGAGTTTCGGCTGTCCGGAGGGCACAGCCATTTTGACTGTTTGCAAGTGGTGGCCATTTTGGATATTTAGAGTGACAGCATTTTCATTTGGATTCCAGGGACCTGAGAATAGGCTTCATTTGCCAAAGACAGCAGGGACATATGGAAGGCTAACAATGGGACTCTAGAACAAGGGAAAGGTGGTGAGTGTATTAGTGCTACCAATTAGTGAGTAGAGGAGCACAGTACCCTGCTTACGTAGAAAGCAAATATCGTGGGCAAGTCACTCCAACATGCAATCACCAATTAAATATAAACACAAAAATGTCACAACAGAGCACCACAGTGCACACAAAGAAGCAAGATAAAGCAAGAGAAACAAGGGACCAGGATACAGATCCAGAGCACATCCCTGAGGAAAATGCAGCATTAGAACTCCCTGATAAGGAATTCAAAAGAATTATATTTAGGTACCGTCAATGGATTGAGAAGCAGATCACGGAAAACACTGACGAAATGGAGGAAAACACAGAGAATACCCTAGAACGATTTCAAAAGACAATATAAGAACAAAATGACAAAACAGACGAAAAATTACAAATGATACAAAATCTACAGACAGAAATCCAGAAGATTAATACTAGATTTTCAGAAAGAGATAACACATTGCACAGGCAAAGGAGGAGAACTGAATCAACAGAAGACAGAATTAGTGAGATTGAAAACAAATACTTCAATACTTCTTTAGAAAGGGATCAATCAGAAAACAAAATGAAGAAAGCCTAAGGATCACGTGGGATAGCATCAAAGGAATAACCTACTGTAATCAGAATTCCAGAACCAGAAGAAAAAAACAAAACCACTGAGAAAATTGTCGAAGATTTTTTGGAAAAGAATTTCCCTGCTATGATGAAAGATGAGAATACATCCATTCAAGAAGTCCAATGAACCCCAAACAGGATAGACCCCAAAAGAAAATCACCAAGACATATCATCAAACTCACCAAAACCAAAGACAAAGAAAGAATCCTGAAAGCAGCATGGGAAAAATGAAGTTATCTACAAGGGCAACCAATAAGACTATGCTCAGATTTCTCAGCAGAAACTATGCAGACGACTTCCAGTAAGATGGAAGAATAGGCAGACAATCCACACAGACCCTCTTCAACAAAGAAAAGAGAAACCAATTGACAGAGATACAGAAGATAATCCTGGAGCCCTGAGTTTTGAAAGGAAGTACACAGAAGTGGATGAGGCAAAACTATTGGAAAAACCTGAACGAAAACAGTGAGTACAGAGACAGTTGGAGCAATGGACTGTCAGCTACTCTGAAAGGACCACCAGCCTGAATATTTCCAAGTGGTGTTGGGACCTGATAAATGACCTAAAAATCGGCCCTGATCAACAAAGGCTGCAGGGATGGTTGCACTGGTGGCCTGTGACAAGGAAGGGAAACAGCAAGGAGGGAGACAACCTGAGCTGTGGACTTTCTATTGTCCGGAGGGTGCAGCCATTTTGGATATTTAAATTAACTGAGGGTGCAGCCATTTTGAATGTTTACAAGTGGTGGCCATTTCTGATATTTAAAGTGAGCGAGGAAGCAGCCATTTTGAATGTTTACAAGTGGCATCCATTTTGGACATTTAAATTGATTGAGGGCATAGTCATTTTGAATCTTTACAAGTGGCATCCATTTTGGATTGTAAAGTGACAGCATTCTCATTTGGATTCCAGGGACCTAAGAATAAGCTCTGTTTTCCAAGGACAGCATGGACATACGAGAGGCTGACAACAGGAAAGGAGATAGGTGGAAAGTGTGTAAGTGCTGTCAATTAGCGAATACAGGAGCATAGTACAGTACCCTGCTTACATAGATAACATACAAAGAAAACGACAAACGTGGGCAAGTCACTCCAATGTAAAATCACCAATTAAACACAAAAACGTCACAAAGCCTCGGAGACAACAGGGCATCACAGTCCACACAAAGAAGCAAGATAAAGCAGGAAAAACAAGGGACCAGGATACAGACCCAAAACACACCCCTGGGGAAGACACAGGACTGGAACTTCCTGAATAAGGAATTCCAAAGAATTATATTTAGGTATCTTCAACAAATTGAGAGACAGATCAAGGAAAACACAGAGAAAACCCTAGAACAATTTTGAAAGACAGTACAAGAATAAAATGATAACATAAATGAAAACTTAGAAATTATACAAAATCTACACATAGAAATCCAGAAGATTAATACTAAATTTTCAGAAATAGATAAGATACTGAATGGGCAAAGGAGTAAAACTGAATCAACGGAAGACACAATTAGGGAGATTGAAGGAAAATACCTAAATACTTATTTGGAAAGCAATTAATCAGAAAAAAGATCAAAACAAAATGAAAAAAGCCTAAGGTTCATGTGGGATACCATCAAAAGGAATAACCTATGTGTAAATCAGAATTCCAGAATAGGAAGAGACAAATAAAACCACAGAGAAAATTGTCAAAGATTTGTTGGCAGAGAATTTTACTGGTATGATGGGAGCTGAGAATATATCCATTCAGGAA